GGACTCCATCTCGGACTCCATTTTGGGTCCATCTCGGGTCCATCTCCGACTCCACTTCGGACTCCAACTCGGGTCCACCTCGGACTCCACTTCGAACTCCATCTCGGACACTCCCACGTGTCATGTGTTGGTCCTTTTGGGTCCCTTTTTGGAGCCTCGCCTTTTGCTCGCCTCGTGCTCGTTCCTCGAGCACTTTGTTGGGAGTTCCACTCCCGCTCTTGACTTTTCAAGTCGGAGCTTTTGGTCCAAACGTGTTACGCTCGTTTGGCTCTCGCTTCGGCCACTACCATGTGGCGCCCTTCCGGCTCCACTTTGGGGCCTAGGGATTTTGTGTCTCACATCAGGTTAGTCGGCCATGCCCGACCTACCCACTATCCCTACTATACATTTGAAGCCATTCATATCCTCCCTTGAGAAACACACGCTTTAGGTTTTCACCCCAAGCCTCCTTTAGTACCAAGAGTTAGTCTTTGGGACAAATTTAAAACTTATTAAATATGGAATATCCTTAGATTGTGAATTTGGGTACGGGACGAACATCATTGTGTTCAAGACAATCTCTACATTCTGTAAATATGCCAAATGAACAAATCTAGACACCTTCCATAAATAGCATTTAGGACCGGAATGAGACTAACACAAAAGGCATGATAGCGAGTGTTTGGTAAATACAGTAAATTATCATTTTGCAAATATTAAGAGCTCAATATTGCAGGGGTTCCCAACACTAGGAAGTGCAAGTTAACGAATGAGTTTCTTTAACCAAGTCAAGTATGCTTGACTAATAGCATTTAGGAATTCCGTCCTTATACCCATTTAGTCAAGTGTACATGCGAAGACCAATTTCTCAACTAACTTAGATGGAGACTAATAAAGGATTTAGTAATACCAACCTCATGCCATCGTGGTAATAAGGAAAGAATATCCAAAAGGATAGCCAATAAGTAACTTTTGATACCCAAAGTCACATTTATGACAACAAATCTCATGCTTTATTTCGTTAAAGTGGGACTTATTTAGTAAAGTGGGACATTAATTAGCATGTGTCCACATGCCATTTCCTAGTACTTAATTAATATTTATTAATATTTCTATCAGTTTTTTAATTTATTTTTTTATATTTCACAATATTATAACACAAAATCATATGAAAAGTTTTTAATTTATAAATTATAAAGTTAAAACTTTAATTTTTTATTGTTGTTATAAAAATGGCATGTGGCCACACACCATAAGTGGGATAATGAAAAGTCCCACTTTAACGAAATAAAGCATTCTCGTTCTTTTCAAGAATTCTAGGTTGAGGATTGGGTTTACATGTTAAGTTCCGCTTGGAAAAACACACCCTAGATTATTGTGCTACTGCTCATTCCAAGCTCCATCCAAAGTTCTTTGGGCATTTTGAGATTATGGAGTGTGTGAATGAGGTGGCCTACAAGTTGCAGTTCATCCTGAGTTCATGATGTCTTCCATATTTTGGAACTGAAACTCCATGTGGGGCCTCTAGCAGCTACTACTTCATTCAATGTTCCTCTTCCTCAACAAGTTTGTGAGGATCAAACTCTACTTTAGCTATATCATGTGATTAAGGTGGCTTATCACAACTTGCATCAACAAGAAGTTTGTTAGGTTGGAATTGACTCTACCACAGATACATGGATCACTAAGGATCAACTTGAGTTCCTATGTGAGACCTTCTAGTGGACTCTAATTTTTACCAATAGAAGTTGAGGGACTAGCTGAACTTACGTGTTATAAATCACAAGGTTTCGCCAAGGTTTGAACTCAGGTTACTGGATTCAGAGTAGGGGATGTAATGTTAGAAGGTGATCTATAGAGATAAAGCAGAGGTAAAGTTTGAAATTGGCATATACAATGAAGTGAGTATGTATGGCAAGGTGGAAGTGTATGCAAAAGCTAGGGTTTTTATCACAATTTTTTCTCTTCTTCTTTCTTCTCTCTTTCCTTGTATTTCTCATGATTCAATCTAGTACAGCTCATGGGATCTGTTTGGATCTCTACAAAAAAACTATCTCATTTCCATCCTCAAGCATGAAGTGGAGATTTCCACTCTCTTGGATCCCAAGGCGAGTGTAATTGCCTAGGACAACTCCTTTGGACCTTTATGCTAGTGTATACATCTTAAACATCCATTCATTCACTCATGAGGTTAGTACATCATGAATCTAACACCCATGCTTGTCCATTCTGCTCAACCTCTGCATTATGATTCTCTTCATCACTCTTGTGGCTTTCTCAGGTTTGCAACAACATTGGTAGGACAATCTTGGGCTCAGTGTCCAATCTCCCAACACATCTTGTATTGGCACAATGGGTGCACCTTGTGCTATCTCAACCATCTCCCTTATGAAACCAATTGCAAATGCTGCCTCCATCTCCTTGGCTTCCTCAACCAGCTTGGTTCCAGACATTGCATTGAGCTCCCATTCTCAGCGTCCTTGCCATCTATTTTCTTCAGCTGGGAGCCCCAACTAGCTCTTGTTTAGCATACATAGCATGGTGGACTTTGTAGGTTTGAGCTTTCTTTGCTCACAGCAATGCAGTATTGATGAACTTTGCCACAGCTCCAGCAAACATAGTTCCCTTCTCTCGTCATCTCCACACAGCCATCCTACTCTCTTAGCAATGACTTGTAGAGTAGGATCTTTTGCATTGAATCCGGAACCTCATGTTCCTTTCCTTGGGCAGCAAGATCTAAAAAGAGTTTGCTAAATGTTTGTGTGTGCACCTGCATATCCCCACCATCCTCAAACATATGCAATCTGAGAATGAATCCTCATCACCTCTATGTCTGAGTGTTTGTTATATTCATCATCGAGCCACTTCCAAAGCTTTATGGCATTGCTCATCTCAGCCTTGACCAAGACCCCATAGCCAAAAAGGAGCAAATGCATCCTATAGCTCACTGGTTTTTGAGCTTCCTCTGATCATCTTTTGGGCCTCAATTCCATTATTAATCCTTTTCAGCTCTTGATCAGATCCATCCATATGGGTCAATTGATCTCTTTTATAGGGCAAAATCCTTGCCCTTGAAGAGGAATGGGCAAATGCCCACCTCCTGGCCTCTGCCATCACAGCCTAGACACTAGAATACCTCGGCCTGCTCCGATTTTCTCCCCAATCATGTGATGCTTTCTAGCGCATAGTCAAGCTGTAAACATATACATGGCTTACCTCAACAACAAAGAACACAATGATAAAATATGGTTAGGAAATGCTCTGAATCCTACCTCAACAACAGAGAACGAAGAGATCTCACTCAAGACCAAATGGCATGCCAAATGATGAAGATTTGAGAGCACACTGAGCTTTAAAATATACTTTCATGCAATGAAAACAGTGACATCTCTAAGCGATCCAAGCATGTGAGGGGAGAAGAGACCCAGATCTATCACACAAAGAAAATAACAAGAGAATTGGCACTCTAGAACATGAGAATGTCATTGTAAATCTCTCAAACTCTCCAAGAATGACTAGAAAGAAAGAAATCTCTACTCCATGGCACCTGCCTGCAAGGAGTGCAAGAAGACACTAGAAACTATACATCTATATGAGAAATGAGAGAAAGAGAAGGATTGTGATGCTCTCATCTGGATCCTGCTGTGGTCGCCATTTGTTGAGGGTGGCCAGCCCTCAACACCATATGCCTCTCTAGCTCACATCTCTCTTGCTAGAACACGACAAAGAGGTAAAGAGTGGGAACCCTAATTGTGGCTGGGTATTTAGGATGAAAATATTCCTGTTAACCTAGAATCTTCTCCTAATTGTTTATGGAAAATCCACTAGCTGAGTTTGTACATGTCATGTCATGCACCACAAGCCAAGAGGTCCACCCAAACCTGACAAGCAAGAATACCTTCAACACCTTAAGCCCACAGTTCTAGAGGTATGTGACTGTGGCCAGGACTAAAGAACCTCTGGCCAGGTTTTAGCAATGCCATTACCCACCACAGAGTCACTCATAAGTGGTTTGCAAAGCATTCTTGTACTTGGGCCCATGCTAAACTGTACATTAAAATTTGTACATGTAGATTTTACAGCTTCTTAACATGGCAAAATTTTATTAAGTATTTTTAAAATTTATGGATTGGCCCTAGCATTGATAATCTTAGTCTATCAAAATAAATGTTTTGAGATTAACATATGGATCTACAGTAAAAAGCCTAATGGGGACAAATGACTAATCCTTATTGAGCTTTTAATAAAATTTTAGCAAATTATTGTTTAGGGTCAAATATCAAAAATAAAATTTATACAAATCCAACTATTACTAATTATTAGATATAAATATCTACTATTATTGAGTGGTGAAAAATAGGATATTTACTAAATCTAACCTTCTAGTTTCTCTAAGAGATGAATTAACTCACAAGGAAAATTGTAATTTGGTGTTAATTTGGATATGGATATATGCTTTACAGGGAATTGACATAAATTCTTTTAAAATACAAGCATATGATTTATTGATATTAATTTTCCAAGTTTCCAAATTATCTCTCTAGTAATAATTAGAGAAGATATTTGTATAGTTGTTTTCTTTAGATATTACATAATAGCTACCTTTTTACTGAAATTATATCACTTGTGACATCATATTTGTTATATACTTGTTGCCTCTTCATACTTTTTTGAGTTTTTTTTCACCTTCACTTGAAATCAAACACGCATTGACATCCAAACTATAATTGATTGATATAAGTCTGATAGTAATAATATGCAATTTTGGACCAATCTAGACCACCATATAGGTAAAATCAATTGTGCAATGTACAAAAACTTCAAAAAGTTCCACAGGGTCTAGAAATTGTGGATCAATGATATTTAATTTATAAAAATAATGAATTTTTATAGTAGTGAAAAGAAATTAATGTTTATTAGACAAAATTTGATGTTTTAAAATCCAAACATTAATTTAAATAATAGAATATGCTATAATCTCGAAGTATATTCTGTCATCGAAAAAATTATGTTTGGTTGGCATGCATAAAGTTGCTGCCAAGCAAGCACAAGCACTGAGAGCCAGCGCCCAAGACACGCTCGCGCACGCTGTGAATCTCTGCGGGAACTCCAAAGATCTTGGGGAGCTCAAGCGCATCCACAATCTCATCACCCAGACTCCACACTCCCACAACACTTTCCTCCTCAATCTTCTCGTACGAATGTATGGCAAGTGTGGGAGCCTCAACGACGCACGCTTGGTGTTTGAATCCATCCCGGAGCCCAATGAATTCTCCTGGACAATAATTGTCTCAGCATTTGCCCAAAATGGGCAGCTATATAGCGCGAAGGAGTACTTTGACAAGGCTCCGATTAAAACCCTTGTTACTTACAATGTGATGATCACTGGCTATGGACACCAGAAAAACGTCCACCAAGCGCAAGATATCTATGGTCGGATGTCGTCATGGAACGCCGTCACGTGGAATGTGATGCTGCAGACATTTGCCCAAAACCGGCATTTGCATAACGCAAGGAATTTGTTTGACCAAATGCGCATTCGCGATGAGGTTTCCTGGACGACGCTGATCTGCGCCTACCTGGTCAACGGGAATCTTGAATGGGCGTCTTCGATGCTTGAAAAGATGCCTGCTCACGACGTAGTTGTATCAACCGCGATGGTTTCGGCGAATGCTCAAGCGGGGCAAATCGATGAAGCCAAATACCTGTTCGATCAAATGCCGATTCACAGCACTGAATCTTGGAATGCTTTAATGAATACTGGATTGTCAAGTGCTGAATTGTGCAAATCTCTCTTCGACGAGAATCCTGCGCGTGATGTTTTCTCGTGGAACACCCTCATATCGGTACATGCCCAGACCGGGGATTATCAAGAAGCTTTCCAGATATTCAATCGGATGCCCGTACGAAACACAGTATCGTACAACCTCGTAATCGCGGCAAATGCCGAGGCCGGGAATCTTTGGCAAGCGTGGCTTATCTTTGACGAGATGCCGTGTAAAGATTCGGTTTCCTGGAACTCTTTAATCCAGGGGTATGCCCAACTTGGGTATGTTGACGATGCCAGAGTCATGTTTGATACAATGGTTGCAAAAACCATTGTATCATGGAACATAATGGTGACTGCCTATGCTCAAGTTGGTCATTCTTTGAAAGCGATCCATGCCTTCAACAAGATGCCGACTCACAACGTTGTTTCTTGGATGGTTGTCGTTCAAGCTTGCATCGATTCTAGTCTTGCATCGGAGGTGTTGGAGCTTATCGACAGGATTCCTGGCGATGTTCTCACCCCAATATTGTGGACTGAGCTCTTCACCATTCTCGTCAGCAACGAAAAGTTTGGAGAGGCCAGCAATCTCTTTAGAAACATGAGCCAGCGGGACGTAATCTGCTGGAACGCGATGATTTCTGCGTGTGGTCACAGTGGACACATTGCTGAAGCTGACGATCTGTTTGCCAAAATCCCTTGCCGGAGCATATCTTCGTGGAACAACATGATGGCCGTGCTTTCCAACGCCGGTGAAATCCTCCAGGCAAAACTGGTTTTCGATGATATGCCCGTGAGAGAAGTGATGTCGTGGAACACGCTGATGGCGACATTTGTTCAGCAGGAAGATTTGGCTGCTGCTTCTCAAGAAGTCTTTGCAAAGATGCCGTGCCGGGACCTCGTCTCTTTCAACTCGATGATAAGTGCGTTCTGCAAGAGCAACCAGCTGAAACAAGCCAAGTCCGTCTTTGACGAGGCGCCCGAGAGAGATTTTGTTTCCTGGAACGCAATAGTGGCTGCAGATGCCGGCGGAAGCTGTAACGTCTTTGAAAAGATGCCGCACTTCAGCATTGTGGCTTGCAACGTTATGCTGGCGGTGCTTTCCCGAAAAAATCTCTATGCTTCCGCGAAGAAAGTCTTTGATGAAATGCCGGAAAGGGATGTGGTGTCTTGGAACACGTTTGTTGCAACAAATGCCCAAAGCGGGGATCTTGAGCTTGCGGTATCCACCTACACGCGAATGTCTTCGTGGAACTTGGTATCGTGGAATTCGATAATGTCTGTATACCTAGTCACTGGCCACGACCAAAAAGTGAAAGAGATCCTAGACGCCACTCCCGAGAAGGACGTGATCACCTGGAACACTATCGTCACGGCATTTGCCAGCTCGCGTCCGAGCGAAGCCCTCGCAATGTTTCGCGAGATGCTGCTCGACGGCGTCAATCCCGACGAGGTCTCAGTGACCGGGGCTCTCGCGGCACTGAGCCACTTGGGCCAGGCGCAAGACTGCTACCAGTTCTTCGTGGGGATCTGGAGCGACTTTGGCGTGAATCCTTCGCGAGAGCACTACTGTTGCGTGGTCGATCTCCTCGCGCGGCTGGGGGAATTGGGCGACGCGGAAGAGGTTACCAGAGTGGTGGACAAAACGGTGAGCTCGACAGTGGCTTGGGGGTGCCTGTTGAGCGCGTGTAGAGCCCAGGGATCGCTAGAACACGGTGTGCGAGCTGCCCAGCACGCCATAGCACTGGAACCATGGAAGATCTCGGCCTACTCGATGCTCTCCAATGTTATAGCTTGCTAATGCCTAGCGTACACGTGGCATTCAATTTAATGTTCAGCGTACACGTGGCATTTGATTTGGCCGTTGGATGACCTTATCCACATTTTCGCTCCTTTCTATTCACAGTGAGTATGGCGGCCAAGTGTTGGCGCATCTTCCTGGTGAGCGCCAACCCTAGGTAGAGGAATGGCGCATGGTCCTTACGCCAAGAGGCGTGTCGCCGGAAGATCTCCGTCGCTGGGGGGCGGGTATGCCGCGCGATCGTCCCGCGGGCTGGCTGTGCGCGGCAAGGAAGGGGATCGCAAGGCAATTCGCAACCAGATTCGCTCCATCGAGCGCCTGCTCAAGAAGGTAAGCTCGAATTCTTCGGGAAATTCATGGAAAGTGCTGGATCGCATTTGCAGACTCTCCCTCTCGAGATCAAGACCGCGCATGAGAAGCGGCTGGAAGATCTCAGGCGGCAGGCGGAGCTCCACGCGCATCGGAAATTGGCTCTGCGGGATAGAAAGCTAAAGTTCTTTGGTGAGTGGAGTCGCTTTACTTTCTTTTTATTCGTTTGGATCTCTTTGGATGCTTAGAACGTAGGAAGCTTGAGAGAAGAATTCGACGTCTGGAGAAGCAGCATCGCTGGAACTTGGATCATCATCCACATCAGGCAAATGCCTCAAGACAAATAGCCGGCATCGCGGATCAACTTGCAAGGCTGAAAGAAGACCTTGAATACGTGCGGGTATGTAGCGAAGACAAAGTCTTCTCTTCTTTCTCGTCTTTATCTCATATCGAGGCTCGTCACTGAAAAACCAGGTTCACTGTCGTGCAGTTTTTTCCAAAGTCTGAAAGGTATGTATCACTGTTTATCGGGAGCGACGACGAGCTCACGAGATCCCGGAGGCTGGAAATCCGCGAGAAGATTAAATCCCGACGAAGTGCTGCCGTGGCCGCGGGAACTGAGCTCGAAGGTAGAAAAGAAAAGAAGCAAAGTTCTGAATGGTCCTCTAACTCTCTTTTACAACTTAGAGACGGGGAGCGAAGACGAGGAGCCCATGGACTTGAGCGAGGATGATATATTTATCGAAGGAAGCTCCAGTGACGATGCCGATGCCGATGATGAGTGGACAGACAGAAGTCCGAGGTATTTTTTCCATGCTTTCAAGTTTATAGTAGCACTTTGTTTCATTCTTTTAGGCCAGGAGATGACAGGGATGATACCTCAAGAGACACAGATGTTGCTCCACAGCATAGGGAGGTAATCTTTTCAGTGAAAAATCCACAACATTCTCTTTTGCTTTTGGTTGTCTTTGGTTTTCTCCAGAGACGAGAGTCAGCCGCAAGGGTGCTCATGCCGCCGCCTCGAGCCATGAACACGAACAGCATGGTCGTAAGGAACGTTTCGGTCGCCAGGAACAACTGCAACGCAAGCTATTCTTCTAGCACCAGTGAAGATGCGATGCTGAGCTGCAATTCTTCGTCGGGCATCAGCTCTGAGGTGATCAAGGTCACTGATCGCGAGCCATTTGTCGAATTCGTGAGTGCGGGCGAGAGCTCGTCATCCTTCTCCGATCACTCCAATGACAGCTATAACGAGAGCGAAGGAAGAAGAAACTAAAGCTTCCCCTATGAAAACTGTTTTATTAGGCACGATACACTATAACTAGTGATTTTCAATTTAGTAAATTTATAATATTATTTCTGATGGATACAAAATAGCTGGTAATTGTTTAATTTGGCATTTCACATTTCTGTGTATTTTCCATGAAGCTAGCTATTCTTCTAATAGTGACTCTCAGATTAGCAAATCTGACTATTGAAGCAGATGTAAATTGGGACGCTCTTACACTTTATAGATTTATTACTAGAAGTGATATTAATGAAATTGGAAAAATTTTAGTGGATATGATGGATAGTAAAATAGAAGAAACATATAAATAGTATAATGCATTTCCTTGGACTAAAACTCTTTCTTTACCAAATAAAGTCATTGAAATTACCATATGGATATACAGTAGAAATCCTAATGGGATGTGTAGTATGGCATGGAGACAAACAGGGACAGGGGCATCAGGAGAAGAAATTATTGGAAAACTTAATCAGCTTTTGTTTGATATCTTAAAAGAAGCTCGAGTGGGAAATTATGGTCTTATAGCAGATTATGTTGGTATTAAATACAAACTACTAAATGCTAGAAGATATAACTTTAAGAGTATCACTATGAATAATAATAAAACCTTTATAAATGCAGCTGTTAATAATTGTTGGATTTACAGGTCTACACTTATGAGTGGTGAAAAATATGAGATAAGATCCTATTTACTCAAGTTGAATCCACTAGTTTCTCCAAATGGATATTTTGAATTAACTCTTGAGGACAATTATAATTTAGTGTTAACATGGAAGAGAATGCATGTTTTATGGGAAAGTCTGACCACTAACAAAGGTATTGATTGCTGGTTACTTTAAAAAACAAGAAAATTAGTAATAAAAGATTTTAAAGATGTAGATATATGGTTTTGTAGATATTAATTGTTGAAGTTGTAAATCAACAATGCTATCTGTGGAGGATGATGGATTTGTATATATAATTGGCTCAAATATCAATAAAGTACTAAAGCATTTACCATAATAAAAGCTTTTGAATGCTTATATTGAAATATGGAATGGCATTGTTGCGAATGTGACTTTAGGTATCAAAAATTACCAATCAGCTAGTCCTTTCGGATATTCTTTTCTTGTTGCCACGACGATAAAAGGTTGGTACTATTGAACCCATTATCAATTCCCATTTGAGCTAGTTGAGAAACTGGTCAATGATAATGCATTTAAATTGGATAAATATCCTATGTGTTTCTTGCTGAGCATACTCGGTCTAGTTTGAGAAACTTGTGTCATTAGCTTGCACTTGCTAGTATCAAGAACCCCCACAATATTGAGCTTGGTCCTTCAATATTGCTAAATGATAGCTTACTATGTCTACTAACACAAAAGGCATGATAGCGATAGTGTTTAGTCTCATTTTGGTCCCAAATGCTATTTATGAAAAGTGTCTAGATTCACTTATTCGGCATATCTACGGAATGTAAAGATCATCCTGGTTTGTCTTGTGTCCAAATTCACAATCTAAGAACATTCCATATTTAATAAGTTTCAAGCTTGTCCCAAAGACTAACTCTTAGTACTAAGGGTGAAAGCCCAAAACGTGTGTTCCTTAGGGGGGTGGGGGATTCCAAATGTATATTAAGGATAGTGGGGTAGGTTGGGCAAACTTAAGGCATAGTCTAACTCCCGCTTGCGTGCTTGCCCTAGCTAGTGGAGTACCTATATCCTCGCATTAGGCCACTGGTATGCTAAAATAATGCCACACTCCGTTGGCTCCATTTTGCATGTTGGTCTTGGCATTGAGATGCTGGATACTTTAGGACTATTTCAAGTCACTCCACCTTCTTGTCCCTTCGCTCCTTGGGCTGTACGCTCGAAAGTTGTTTTGTGCTCCAGTGCCATCACTCCTTGGCTTCATGTTTAGGAGTTTGGCACTGTTCCTTCGTTTAGTGGCCTAAGGCCATAAAACTCCGGTTTTGCACCACTATCTTTTGGACACGTGGCATATGACATGTGGCAGGTGACATGTGGCATATAAAGGGTTTAGGTTCTACTTTGTGGTTATCCTATGGTAAATTACCATATGATAAAGGGTAAAAACCATGTGCGCTATATTTGGTATTAGAAAATATGTCTCACTATTCAATGAGATTAAGCTACATACGCAGAGATGAAAATGATGATCCGAGTGAGTACACATTTGGGTGCTAAGACTTCACATTTGTTCCTTGGGTATGGACTTTGGTTACCTTTTGTAGTAGATTATACAAGCTTGTGCTTAGGCTCATAGGATGGATGTGAGATGTTTTGTTTGCACGAGTTTGCGCTTGGGCTTGTGAATGAGACACATTAGCAACTCAAGCTTACACTTTGAGTTAGCAAGATTAATGTTAACTTATCGGTGGTTCCATGAGTACTTCCAGTAGTTCCATAAGCTGTTCCATGTACCATGGGTGAAAGTAAACCTTCCCTAGGTTTGCTATCAGTGGTAAATAAGCTCGTCTGTAGTTGTTTAGCATGGCACTAGTGGATCCTTCCTAGGCATAATTATAAGTAAATCAATCAAGATTGTAAGGATTAGTCTATTAGTTCAAGTAGTTATTGCCGTGCTCTCTCATAAACTTTTCTTGGATTGGATTGAAGGCAGTGCAAAAGCAAGCTTGAGGTTTAACCAAAAGATGAGATTGAAAAGAGAGTCATTGGGGACGAAGGATCAAACATGTAAATCATTTTCTCTTCTTAAAGAAATGATTTGCAACGAGATATGACTTATTGTTCGTGTTCACATTATGCAATCAAAAGTCCCTACCTTGATGCATATTGGAAATGATAGTTTTATAAGTGGTGAATTATGGGATGGATAGCGGTGAAGCGCTAAACCATTTTGTCTAGTCTCACTATTGGAAGACTTGGGTTATAATGCTCAATTCTTTTTCGGGGAACCTTGCTATTGCTCCTTAAGTAGCTTAGTGTTGGATTAGTTTTGAGTTTGGTTGGAAAGAGAGTGGCATAAGCTTATCTGTGTTATGAACAAGAGTTAATGGTATTGAGTGTTGTAAATCTCGATCGATGGAGTGTAACATTTACGTTGCATTTTGTCGAATTGAGTTAGCACTTGATACTCATATAAACCTTTGAAGTAGTGATATGAGCATTGCTCGTGGTGTTGCTCAATTGATGATCAAGTCATTATGATTTTTATATCATATTTATGTGTTAATGAGTAATGTGGTTACTAAGTTGCTTGGTTAAATGATGATTAACCCCAAAGTGATTGATAGTGAAGTTAGTCTACTTGCACATAGTAGTATTGTAGTAGCTTTAACTAGATTCTCAATAGTGATTTATTATGCTAAGCTTAAGTTGGTACTTTGTTTCCTTGAGGGTTTGCCTATAAGGTGTTGAAAAGGGTTATAATATTCACTTGC